TCCGATTCTTGCAAAGACAGGGAAAGTCAAATGGAAAGTGGAAATCCGTTCCTACCGACACTAGCTTAAGATTAAAGTTAAAGATGTTAAAGAAGTCGTCGTCCTTCAGTTTGCCTTTATTTTATCCTTTCCTTTTCACTTTAGTTTCCATAATAAATTATGTACAGGATAGGTCAATGGAAACTGGAAATTGCGCTTGTGTATGCTTTGCTTAATTTGCTCTTTGCTAGTTGTGAATTGCCTTCCGCAATACAAATTTTATTCTCTGAATTCCTTGCAACCCGAATTTTCCTGCTGGTTATATAATTTGTGCTGTTTAATTATAGCTTCATTTTCCTTACATTCATTTTATTTAAAGCCAGCATAGCTCAGCCCGTTTCGGCTGAAACAGCTGGTGTCGATTGGGCTTCACCATCGACTCTGAAATTGCATCTTCCTCAACTTTGACCACCCCAGGCGGAGAGGCCAACCAAAAAAACCGGTTGAATGATATAGATCTCATGAATCGGCGAAAATTGGCAAAATGTGGCATCCTTACAATGCGTACGTATATTTTTACTCCCGGACTTTACCCTTACAAGCGATTTTTAATGTTCGCACTGTACTGTACTCGTGTCGACTTTCCTGCTCAATCACTTTGCTTTTTAGCGGTCCATATAACATTAAAAATATTTGCGTCCACTCTCGTTAAGCATACATCCAAAGCTACACGGAACATGACATGCCCCATTTTCGTCAGAATAACTGCAGGTTCAAACCCTTGATTATACGTGGCTAGGTCATAGTAAACAACCACTTTGATGTTTGCTTTGTTTAGCTCAATTACAGAAGCATGCATTTAGAACTTTTCAGCTAGTATTACCAAGCAAGTTGGAACGGTGACATTCACTGGTAGTTGATGTGCATTTCTATTTCCTTATTTCTCAGTTCGAAAAAGGATGAGTCCGGTCTCCCCTCCCCAACTCCGTAAAGCATCGTGATCAGCAAAATGACATCACTTTCCAAGAACCATCAATCACCGATTTTCTTTCTCACTTTGTTAGAAACATTGTATTTGCAAAAAATTATGCAGTCACTTTGTGTCCCTCTTTGTTGGAACAAAGGAAGCAGGTGTTTACAACCCGAAGGTTTATTCTTATTTTTCGTTTACTCACCTACCAAACGGACTTCTTTTAACACAAATGAACCATTCACCGGATCATGTATTGGCTTATTATCGGGTAGCGCCCTCAAAGCTACACTTGTAAGTCGTCATTGGTACCTCTACAATGTTGGCTTGTGATACGCAAAATAAAACATGATATGCGCACTCATTGTCAGTCTTGAATTCACGCTTGCTTTAGAACCTAAATCTCTCACTGCGTTTTCACCTCTTCTAGATTACATTGAATTGTACGGTTAAGCATACACTTATCGTTTTAGAGCATCATAAAAGGAAGCTGAGTGTAACCCATCCACTCAGATACAATACTTGTACTAATAATCTAGCCTATTTCCTGCTGGCATTTCTCTTTTGCAATCAGGTAATTTTCGGATATTCTTCCAGCAACTAGG